AGGGGCTTTTCACAAATATGACAATGCGTTGAGTTTTGGAAACATGCCTCTTGCTCTGGAGTCATTACAAGAGGAATATATATCGCCATTTGGCTTTTAATGAAGTCATAAGTCTCAAACAACCTTTTGAAAAATACGTCCATAACATTTTCGCCACTATATAACTCTTCAGAAATAATCTTAGACTCTTTCACTACTACGAATGCAAATCCAGATGGAGTATGGTTGTTTGAGTTTATAAAGCACTCAAAATCTGCATAAATCACAAATGGGGCTTTAAGTTGATATTTATAGTTTTTAAATTGTAATGTATCTTGTTTAGACATTTCCACTCGTTGGGCATCAAAGTTTTTACAATACATTATGTGACGTTCTAATATATCATTACTGTAAAAATGTTGCAAACACAACTTGCAAAAATGCTTCTTATGGTCATCTTTTGTAGAGTGGAACATTAACTTATCAAAATCACGAATTAAACAGTAATGTGATTTACGACCTTGTTGTAATAACAATAGATCTATATGAGTACTACTATTTAGTTTGGTTGTTCTTAATGGATATATACATTTATCATATTCAACCCCAAATACATTAACACTTATGTTATTTTGTATTTCAAATTTATCTATATCAGATATTTTCACAGGATATTTTATGTTTGTCATATTCAACTGACTTTCATAGGGTACATAATTAGAGACTCTATTAGCACTTTCATTTTTAGCATTCCTTGGATATAAAGCTGCTAAAATTGACCAAAGGAAGCATTTATTATCAGAATTTTTTATATTTAAAACTGCATGTTTCGATTTAATACTCTCTGGTGTGGAGATATATGACTTTGGAGTTAAAGGCTTATACTTATAAACATGCAACTGCCAATATTTAGTATGGTCATATATCCATCCACTGCCTTGGGCTTGATATTTGTGCATGGAAGCATCAATCTTTAAAAGTGCATTTTCAATTTGAGGTATTAAATCTCTCTTCTCAATAGTTAAGGTAGTAAGGCTTCTAAAATCTGCAATACATTCTTTTTCATTAACTAATTTTCCATTTTGATCCATTGAATATTTTAAAAATTTGATTCTCCTAACTAAAGTCCATTTTATCGGCAGAGGACAAGACTTCAGAGTACTTTCAAGGTCAGTTCTAATCGATTCACCGACAAATTTAATCATTGTATATGGACATTTTATGCAAGAATTGGCGTGTCTTTTAAAATGTCTAACAACATTCGTTTTACAGAAATTACAAGTCTTATGACTTTGTAATATATGTGATTTTAAAGCCACATTATTATCACAGATTAAATTGCAAACTTTGCACAGTTTCACCTTCATTTTATGAATTACCTTGTAGTGGCGAATCAGGTTACTTTTGGTGGAGAGCGACACGGAGCAGTGTTGACAGGTCGGCATCATGCACGAGAATGAAATATCACCCGGATGCCACCTCTATTTATAGACTTTTTGAAATTTGCAAAATTTTTTACCAGAAATTGTGAAATTTTCTTAATTTTTTACTAGAAATTAAAAAATTTCAAACAATTTAACTAAAAATTACTTCAACAGGAGGTCTCCCAACTAGGACTAGACCACTAGAGACAAGAAGACCGACCATGGATCAGGAGCAGGACCATGGGTCGGGAGCGCACACACGCCATGAGCCGAGTTCGCGTACAAACCTCGCACTGTCAAGTTGATGATTTTGTGAATGGATGTGGATTTGAAATAGTAATGGAGTTATACAATGGCATTGAACATTTATATAGGCTTGTATTGGCCGAGAGCTGGATTTTAAAAAAAGTGGTCAAAAAAAGCTCACCATGTTATTCTTATGGGGAAAACGTGCCTAAAGTGATGTCATATTGCTAGTTCGCCACTACTCTACATTTGAACTTGTAAGGGTCAATAAATATAAGAAATAGCTTTTTTAGCTTAATATCGAATATATTTATGGGGAATAAGTAAGAAATAAGGTTTGACAATTATATAGGGATATTTAGGCAAAGATCAGGATTTTTGGTTTTAGTGGCCAAAAAATGATCCCATGTTATTTCTTATGGGAAAACGTGCCCCAAGTGCCGTTAAACCGGTAGTTCTCCACTACTGCGATCATATCTCCTACAGTAAATTGTTTAGTCACCAGATGGTTTGGTGCTACCAGACGTTTGCGTATACCGTGGGCCAGATAACGTAATTCGTTTTGTAATAAAAATTACAAAATGATCATTCCCGAGTAAGGGCGATAATTTTCTGTGTAAGATTTCTAATTTTTCATATGGCTTTTGTAGAAACTTGAACTGTACTTAAAACAAATAATTGTTACTTAAACTCCACATAAATGTTCAATGATAGACCCATTCTTAATGTAAACTAAAAATATCCAACAACACAAGTCATATATAGACATCAATGCTTAAATATGAAAATTGTTTCTTTATTGTTTTAAAGAATTCAATAAGGATATTATGAGGGACATTTATTTAAAAAGAAAATTCAAACAAGAACCATATATTGATTCGACATTTGTACACAAGGGTATCCAGACTTGAAATTGAAACGAGCATGATCCTACAATAGGATGAGAGGTTTACGTGCGGTATTAAAAGTCAATGGTCTTGTGGACCGGGCCGAAAATAAGATGTTAATTTATTCAGTTTAAACATTTACATAACTACTCTACTACAATATTTGTTTTGTGTTCGTGCCTCTTGGCACAGGAAACCACGAAATTCAATCATTGAACTTTCGTACAGTTTTGTTTATTGGATTCTCAGGGTGAGATTCAAAAGCCTAAAGTTTATTTTATACGAGCAGCAAATCCCAGCTTTGCCTGGTGACAATAATGTACAATAATGTTGAATAAGTTTTTTCTGTTTCATTGCATCCAAATCTTGGAACCATTAAATCTAGATGTGAAATAATCTTTCTCTAAGGTGGAACATCATAGACCAACTAACTACTATCACGCATTTTTATATTTTATTTTTTAATCTCCCCTACAACCTCCACATCCTACATCCTACACATCACATTGACTTAGATTGCCCTGGAGAACTCTGACATATTGCACGAAAAATTTGAATATTTTCACGCACACTGATATTTTTTGTCATCAACACGACCTCGAACATCCACCGCCTTTCTTCAATGAACATAGCATTGTTATTTCAAACACAGTATCATATACAGGGTGTCCCGCGAAGTGGTTTAATCGTTTAATTCACAGCTGTGTCTAAATAATATGTCGGCATTGTACTTATAGCATCACTAACACGACTACAAGATCGCGCCACTCATCCTACACTTTACACACTCATCTCCATTCATACTTGGCTTAAAATACCTAATTTGTATGGTCGCTATTTCAATGAAAAGTATTAAAGATTTTATTTTACTTGCCCATTAATGTACAGAATATTTGAAACTTTACACAATTTATAAAGTAGGTTTTGAAAATATCCTGGAAAATGTTAGCTCCCTTATCCTTGCAGAAACAAAATGGTGGCAATTTTTAACATTGGTACTTTAAAAACATTAAAAATTTTGTTTTTGGTTTTGTTAACTATTTTTATTGCCACATTCTGCCTTCTTTAATAAGGCCTTTAAATCAGGAAACATAGACTAACGAAAACCCTAAAAGAGTCCAAAATGATTTAAACATCCACAGCAACACACTGATAACAGCGTACACATGCATCGTAAGTTCAAGGATCTGGGAGCTAAAATTTTGCCATAATATTTTTAAAACCTACTTTAAAAATTTTGTAAAGTTTCTAAATGTTTGTAAATTTGTATATAAAAGGAAAAGAAATATACAATCAAACGCTTAAACCTCTTCATGAGACACCCAATATATAAGATTTTTTCTCTTGAAAAACATGCAGACAAAAACTTAACTTACGTTAGGGTAAACTCTCACAGAATTGGCTTTTAATAAATAAGAATTACAATATTACAAATTATTTATTAAATTGAAATCATCATAACTGTAAGCAGTCCTACCATTGACTACTTTAACATTTCTCATTGAGTATCACAGTTTTTTTGTTGTTACTTACTGTTGTCATAAATTCAAATAAAATATTAATAATGCCGCACGTTGTAACCTTGTTACTTTTTATTGAACATCATAGAACCAACTTGTTTATAGTTGGAACTGTGTGTTAACATTCAAGTTCGAATACTTGAGTAATATTTTTGAGAACTCCAAAGTCACTGGGGCGGAGCCCAAAGGATTTTTGAGATAAGAAATAGCCTTATGTTAATCGGGAATATGAGCTATCATAATGCAAAATTTCAGCACAAACATACCAGTAGTGTTAATGCGTGATTACACTTCTAACAAACTAACAATCACACAAACTTTCACAATTTAAAATATTAATATGATAATGGGGAAAGAGAGCATTCGCACCTCGGGCAAATCATTTGCAATAACTCGTTAGGTACCATGTTTCGAACTTGAAACTGTAGTCCACAAACTTGAGAAGATTTTCTATATCATTCACTTTTTTAGTGGAAGGACGGTTTCCTTACAAAACAAATTTTGAAGTACCTATGTAAATTTAGAATATTGTTTTATTATAACAGTGTTGGATGGACAATTCTACTTTTGACGTTCAAACGTTTATGTTCTAGGCTATGTAAAGAATGTAAGCGGATACCTATTATATTAAACGGGCCCTTAGTAGATGCTTTTAGGTTTTTTGCTTCAACTAACTTTCAACTTTATGGTAAGATAATGTTAAATATTTACACATTTTTAAAGAACATTATCTCACCAAAAAGCCATGGTGTTTTTGAACTATAAACATTGTGTGAGAAAGATATGTTTATTCATTTTACGTTTAAAAATGTAAAATCTATGTAAAACACTTTCCGCAAACATCTTAAATTTATGTTTGCGGAATTGTCGGCATCTATAGACTCAACTTTTTAACTACCGGTAACTTAAATATTCCAATAAGAAAACATAACAAATTATCTTACCAAACAGCAATAGCGTTCCCAAAGAAGAAGATGAGGAAGAAGACGAGAGCGCAATGAGCGTTTCCCAGCCCTTGCTGAGCGAGGAGCAGTTGCGACGAGTGACCTCTGGGGTCAGGGTAGCAGGACACCTCCTCGCGGCCCAGGACAGCCCTCAGGCCCCACCCGATACTGACCATGTTGTAGCAGAGGGCGAGGAAGGGCAGCGGCCGGTCAGGGTAGGGCCAGCGGGAGTTGCGGGACCCAGGGTCTCCCAGGAACGTGAGGACCGCGAACAGAGAAGTCACAAAACACAATGAAGACATGACGGTGATCCAACACTCTGCGGAGGATTTGTCCGCTGGACTAAACAACACGTCTCCTCTGCACAACTGAAGACATCTCCGAGAGCGGTTGGAGCGGACGTACATCCCGGGACGGGCGTAGTGTGCACACGGAGCTTGGTCAGGATCCGGAGGAAAGGGTGGTGGAAGATTACGAGGAATAGCTGCAGATATCCCTATATCAGTCTCTCCTGGACCCTCCATGCACATGTGTTCGTGGTCGTTCCTCTCAGGGAACCTAGAGCAGTCCAGAGCCGCGGGCCAGGGAAATCCGAATCCTTGAAGAACCGGGTAACATCTCGCCTTGACCGCCTCACACAACCCTCTGCACGGACCGATGGGCACGGGGACCTTCTCGTTGCACATTGGAACATACACGGAACACAAGAAAAAACTGAGTTGTCCGGAACATCCGTACTGCACCAGTGGTGAGAATGTCTGGAGGGTGAACTCTGCGTCGGCTTGCGTCTCGTGGCCTACCAGGTTGGGGGTGCCGGTGTAGTTGTACCCCGTCCCGTGGCAGAGGTCGACGGCGATGGGTTGACACGAGGCCGCTACTGTGGCTAACACGGTGGGTAACACCAGGAAGACGAGTGACGTCATTGTACCACTCCAGGTCCTACCACGACGGGAGGAGCGCGCCGACTACGCTCGCTCACCACTTCACCTTCACACTGGAGCTGGAGAACTGCGATGCTATCACTCACTACCGGTACCGATAAACGAGTACTCAAATACTCGTACCCACCGACTACAGTACTCACAATCGCATCGAATGCGAGTTAGATTCTTTCTTTATTTTTAACATTGATACAGTGTAGTCGGTATATTTTGTTAAAAAAATATAAAGAGTAGCACGATTTATTTTAAAGGTATTCTACTGAAAATTTTGAATAGATAGTAGTTGCAGTAACAGTATAACAATCACAATATTTGAAACACAATTCTGAATATAGTATTTCTACAAATAAATGCCTACCTAAACACATTTTTACTTTAGCTGTTTTAATGTTTACGCATGCTGTTAACATGATAATAGCATTTAAAGAAACATAGAGCAATAAAACCCTAAGATTATATAAACCTGTGTACGGGATCTACAGTGGTAGGGGGTGCGTTAGTTTGATGGGACTTGACCTGGTCTCCATCGGCACTCCCGTTTTGCTACCACTGTATATTTAAAACTTACACAAACTCAGTGTAGGCTAGAGAGTGTCTGGTCGGAATCAGTGCCACAATTATACTATGTACACACATATTTAAAAAATACCATAAAAATGGCTTCTTCACATGAAAATAATATATAACTTAATTGTTTTATCTCTTAAATAGCAGAAAATAATGGACAAAATTAATAAAACCCAGGTAATTTATGTGAAACTAAAATATCAGACTTTTATATCATTTTACAAGTTTGCACTAAAAAAAGGATAAACGTAAACCTTCACTTGAAATACGGCTGGCTACATCGTACGGACATTTTACATATATTTTCCATTTATGGTTCAACGCTGTGTATATTGGTATAATGAATGTGTAGGCTACGTTATTTTTAAATACATCAATTTTTAAGGTTAACGGATAATTCTGTATACAAATTTGGCATTTAGAACAGCATATTTTCAAGCTGTGTAAACTTCTAGACATATTTTTGTTGATTTTCCCTCAGCCAATCATTGATTGTTCATAGGATGGCTAACTTGTTTATCAATATTTTAACGACTGACTACAGCCGCTACAACTTCCCAACTGTTATAGATTGGAACCGAAACTTCGACTACAACATATCGACTACCCTTTATTGACTCGATTTTCAACTCGATCGATAGTATCGGGTATTTTTCTCACAGTGGGAGGAGTGCAGGAGTAATAGGAAGAGGAGGGGAAGTGTTGATGGGAGGGGAGGGGAAATCGTTGGCCGGAGATTAACAACCTGTTCTGTTATGAAAATAAACAACTAAACTACCAAACCAGCCACTTCCCATGGCTATGAATAACATTGTTTAATCAGGAGTTTGTTTGCTGATAAATCTACTGAGATTAACCAGACGAAATAATTGGTTTTGGTTCATGTTCGATTATAGTTTGCTGTCTACACGGTTACATAGGAATCAGAGAGATTACTTCGAAGTTGGCGAATTTATTGTTTTTATTCTGTTAACGATTATTATATTTTACCGTTATGTTATTTATATTGAAGTAAACAGCTTACAAATAAAGAATACGCAAGCAATGTACAATATTAATTTAAAATTAATTTTGATTAATGATTAAGTTTCAAAAACGCGATATTTAATGACAATTAATTATTCAGATAAAGGATTCTGTTGCATAAATTAAACGGGGCTAGTGACTCTCAGCGAAACAGCTGATTGATTGTTTTGATGTGAGGCCTAGCAATTAAACAGCTGAATTAACAGCAATCTATCTAAATATATAATACCCCCGCCGCAGCAAACCTGCAGACTAAGCGAATTTCCATTTGACTGATTGGATTTACACTGAAATGTCTACTTAAAAATATAACATTTATTCTTGATTTAAATAGAATTAGTTTAACAAGTACTTAGGTTTGCTGCATCAAGGAGGGTAAAACTGTTTTTTTTTTTTTTGTAAAATGTGAATAGTTAGTAAAAAATAAAAACATTTTCCAAATTTGATCAAAATATGTTCACAAACAAGCAAACTACGACAGTTTACTTATTCTCCATAAGAATAACATGGGAATTTTAAATTTACAATTTTTTGGAATTTTCTCCGTAACCATTAGGCGCATAATAACGCTTCAAAATACTAAATTATTTGTTTTTTTAAGCTCTACAAAATGGTTTGGAAAGAAATTGCTAAATTTTATGTTTTTTGGGTCAAAAATGGGAAAAACCTATTTTTACCCCATAAAACCCCCCGTAAACCCCCGTTCCCATGGTCCGATCATGCTGGATCGCGAACTCGTTCGAATAAACGTACGTTTACACGTTTTTACCAAATTTCATCAAAATCGGATCATTTTTGCTCGAGTTATCGTGCTGACGGACACATATATATATATATATATATATATATATAAATATATATATATATGAATTTGAACGGATGGTGTTTTTGGCCTCTAGGGACCTCAAAACGAAAAAAAAATCGGTCCCGCGTCCAGGTCTTACCATGAGTACTACGGTAATAGCTTATTCCCTATATGGGAAATTCGCTAAAAGGCAAAACCCTCACTGACTGACTGACTCACTCATTACTAATTCTCCCACTTCCCATTTACCTAGGAGGCTGAAATTCGGTACACACACGATTATTTGGGCATTAAATAGGAAAACTAAGTAGTTTTTATTCTGTTCGGGCTCCGCCCCAGTGGCTCTGGAGTTTCCCATGTTAACCTTATGATTTTTCATATTTAAAAGGAATTAATGAATCTTAACAGCTGTTTCAATTAAACAAGTTGGTTCTGTTCTATGATGTTACAGCTAGTACTATTATAAAAATAATATAGTAAAGAAGAATTATTGTTTCCTCTAATACCTGAAACAAACCAGTAGTATCTTATCTTCTCATGGTGAGGGTAGTTTTTGGAAAATGTTCAAATGTAGGTTAAGCGACACCTCATTTTCAAGGCATTTGTTCACTGAGCATTTTGATAAAAAATATTTTAAATTTATCTTAATGGTCATGTACAAGGTGTTCAAAAATCTTTAAAATTCAGTGTCTTACAGTTGATTTTATTGGAATCGCCTATATCAATCTAAGGAATCACAATTTTTATCTCAGATTAATGAAAAGGTACCCTTTTCAAAATACCCTTAAATGTACCACTACGACAAATTTTACCAACTTCAAAAATACAGGAAATTTTGGAAAATGTAAGAGCTTACAAGTGAATAAAAGAAGAGATAATAGATTACATTGTTGATCCTTATCTATTCACCCCTGTTAATTTCTACTTGTTAGTCTTATATCTTGACGTCAACTGTACAATCTGTTTCTAGTTTAAATAAATCTTTGAATCTAAACTCAAATAGCAACAGGTTTTAAAAAAACATTAAAAAGGTTTAAAAAAACAAACATTTACTACATTTAACGTTGGGTTCTATCATTGACTATACTATTTCTATCTCCAACAGGATTTGAAACTATAGTCTATAGTTTCAAATTTTTCTTAGTTTTTTTAATGTTAACAGCCCTTTTTACCTAGAATAATTACACCCACATGGGCCTCACCCGTGCTTGAGTATTATTAAGCAAAGCAATGGGTTTATCTTGCACATTTGCCTTAATAATCAATAGATGATATGATGAGTCGGTGGAGTAGTTGGTTTGCTGGCTTTCAGAGGAAGTAATTTTTTCAGTACAGGTATCTTGTACCTCCACAAATTCGTTTACCATAGCTCAAAAGGTTTTCTTAATGGATTATTAAACCATCCAATCTACCAGTTTAGTGACCAGCTTTTTTTGTGTTCATAAATTAGTAGTGTGTTAAAGATAGTGTAGGAATATAGTTGAAATCACTGTAAAATCCGGAGAGTTATAATGGTTAAAAGGAATTGGCTAGCAATTTGATACTGTAGGTTTACCAACTTCAATAATGAATCACAAAATAAAAACACAGATATTAAACATGTTATGAGGCATTTATTTACAAATTTTCCAACACAACGTCAGTCAATAACAAGCGCCATCAAAAACTGTTCACAATTTAAAAAATAAAGATATAGCCTTAATATGTACAAGCTGCACGGTAAACTTAACAGTTTCAATTAAGGACACAAGCATAGACATTTAGCTGTAAATATTTATAAACAATTTCACTATTGGTTTTCTCGTTAAATTTTATACAAAAAAAAAAATAAAAAAAAATCATTATTGCAACCACAGTTTGTCCATAACAAGTTGAGTATACTTTATAAAGCGTTCTAAACAGCATATGCAGACTTAATATAATCTCTATCTTAATAAAAACTATCAACAACTAACTATTAACAAATACAGTGTATCAACATCAATGTTATACAGGATGTTTCGTGATAAATTTTAAAATTCATTTAAATAAGTAGTATTTCTAGGTGTATTTTAAATTAAATAAATAATTAGAGCACTAGTTATTACCCATCTACTATTTTATATTTTCATTGTATAAACATAAAAAAGTTTCTGGCAAGATAGCTTCAGAATTGTAAAGTGTATAAAATATGACTCTGGGATTAAAACAGAATATATTTATATACAAACTAACACCCTAGGCCTAGATATATATTTTAATGTTAATATTTTCATAACAAAAATATAACGTTATTGTTACAGCTATGTATAAATAAATATTTTTTTACTCATTACACATTACTTTATGCTGAAAGAAAATGTAAATACCACTAAATGTGCAATTATGAGGGGTGTATTTTAAGGGACCGATTGTGCAAATAGCTCCATAGTTCACAAGTACAGTAGAACTCCAATTATCCGGACTCCAATTAACCGAATCGCCGACTATCCGAATCGCATATTTCAACAACTTTAAAAACGTAAAGCTTCAGTAATAATAAGTTTTGCAAAATATGAAAGAATTGTTACTAAACAAATTTAGCCAGTGTGTAATTTTGGACTCTGATAAGAACATGTATAGAACACTTGTGCTATGAGCATTGTAAACTGTAAAAATGTTCTGATTTAATTTATTATTAATTAGAAGTTCATTTAGTACCGAAAATGAGGATTTTCTTGGAAATTGCCGGAATTCCTGTAAAACTCCGACCATCCGAATGGGGTCTGGTCCCAATTGATTCGGATAATCGGAGTTCTACTGTACACAGCAACGTGGCAGTTTGCTGCTTACTGGCGTCATTTGTGAACAGAATTGCCCCATTTTCAGCTCTGTAGCTGATGTGTATGCTTTGCTGTGTGCCTAGAAAATGTTAAGAATTATTGAACATTCCGGCTAGGTTTTACATTATTGTCTCTTTTCTTTTTGGTTTGTTTTCTGAATGCAAGAAACATATCCAATGCTGCTCATCCATCACCAAATGACTGATGTTTTTCACCTTGCAATGAGTTAGAGTAAAGTGCGGAAATGGGTTGGGGATTTTGATTTTTCTTGCAGTCAAAAACGTATCACTGATCTTATCTTTGCATATGGAGGAAGATTGAATAATTTCAATAAAAGTCTAGGCAAACAGCATAGCCATTATCAGCTACACAGTTGCAAGTGGCGTGATTCTGTTCACCAATGAGTTAGTAAGCAGCGTGTCGCCTCGTTGCGGCGTACACACAAAGTATAAAGCTATGCACGAACGGACCTTACTTAAAAAGTAATGAAATATACTTCGTCAGAAATTACGTGTTAAGATTATAATATTTCTCTTCAATAATAACTTTCAAGATATTACGCAAGCATAATACAATAATTAAAGGACTAGAATAAGAATATTAAGATAACTTGCAAATTGATAGGGCTACTTATTTTATAAAATTGACAATTACTGATTTTAAAATATAAAAAAAAATCTAAGCAAATTTGACTTGGCTTGTCTAGCATTTAAAATTAAAATTTTTTTAGTATCATACACAACAAAATATAGTAGGTCTATATGTTAATAAAATATGTTTGATAATATATGGAAAGGGAAGTATAAAGGACTTAAAGCTTCATAAGTAAGTTTAGTATTGATAAGGGAAAATTGCCATTGAGGCCATACTGTATTACCCATTTGAAAGTTTCTACAAGAAATGTTTTTATTTCAGAACTATAGACATGCAGTGTTATCAAAATTAATAGACTTGTTGAAGCAAAATTACAGATAAAATTTATAAAGAATTTCTTTTTGGGTTTTACTTATTTAATATATTTATAATCAATAAATTTTTACTACAAGCTTCGCTATGAAGAACACAATAGTATGAAGGTTTGGCCATCAAACCCATAAAGTACTATTTAGGGATGCAGATCACTAAAAAAATTCCTAGGTATGTAACAAACAATTTGAAAAATCTTTGCATATTTGGTTCTGGGTGGCTGGGTAGCTGAGTGGTTATAGGGCTCGCCTATTAATCAAAAGGTCACCGGTTCGATCCTGAGAAAAGTCAGTAGCTTTTTGATGGTTCGAAACTGGACCCAGCTGTTCCTGATCATTGGGCTTTAAATAAATGATCCTGACTAATGAAACCGCTGATATTAGTCAGTAACAAAGCTACACAGGTCATCACACACCATTCTACACTCATCCTTCACTCATATTTGGGTTAAAATACGCACCTAGGTGGCGTCCCCATCTCAACGATTGATTATTGATTATTGATTATTATTATTGATCCTAATCCAAATAAAGCACATTGATTTCAGACCGTGAAAACTACAGTAGAACTCTAATTACAATCAAAACTACAATCCTCCAGATAACCTTAAGAAAAAGAAAAAAAATTGACCAGAAAAATAACTAAGTTTATTCTTGTTGCATGCAGTTTGTGGTAATCATTCACATATTTAAATGTGGGCCAATAATTGTGTGCATCATGCGGCGAGTCTATTGGACAAGTAATCATCTTCCTAATGCCACCTTCTCATAAACAAACTACTAAGCAATTGTCATGTAAAAATGTACATTACAATTTGGTTTATAACTACTTTTCCATTTTAGACAATTTTTTCTTGAAAAATATGTTTATCTGGATTTTTGATAATCTGTATATGGGGTCCAATCCCGATTGATTCGGAATTGGTTTCCTACTGCACAGAAATAGCCAGTTTCCCCAAAAAATCACTAAAGATTAATAAATAATAGAGTTAGTTTTTCTGACATTTGCGAGAAAAAATTAATTGTGATCATTGTTTTAATTTAAGTAGTACAGTAACTATGAACCACCCTATAGTTTTGACATACAATGTATTTGTAATGATACTTTGTTTTATAATGGAAAACTAAATTTTAAGTAAATATAATTTAGATTTTAGGAAAAAGTAAAATAAAAAAAAAGATCTTTGCTGTTCTTTATCATACTATTATCACCAAGACACCTCTCTAAACTTATCAGTAAGCCTTAGGACACTTAAATGACTTAACATAGCAATATGTGAGCAAATATAAAATCCTTAAAATATTTATACACAAACTGTAAGTTTTTGGCTGCTAACAAATAAAACATAACAAATCATACAGTCTAGCTCTGTTGTTATATTTTTTTTTTTACAATAACATATTTATACAAAATAACACTAGTGCAAAACAGTATAACATCAACCATTAAATTAACGATAATACTATTTTGAAGGGTAAATTTACAGCAATTAACGTATTGTAACAACTGAGATTATTAATTAATTAGCTAGAAGGTCTAACTGGTTATATTCTTGGCATTTAGTTTGTCCAGTTGTAACTGAAGTGAGATTTTCTCCTCTTTTACGAGAGTCAGATCGGTATGCAGTGTGGCACACAGTTGCCGCAAAACCTCATTATGTTCCTTCCGAGCGTCCAGGCTGAAAACAATTGATAATGTGATAAACAGTATACTCCCTCTTCTCCGCACACCTTTTAACCGGACTACACTCAGCGTAAATGACATCTCTTTAACCGGAAAATTTTTATCAGCACTCGGTTTAATTTTAATTGAACTAGATCGGCAGGAAATGGGCGGTACTGAAAAACTGTTCTCGTGGTAAAGATTTGAGACCAGTGATCACGTGTCTAAATACAATGCTCTCCTAAATTTAAGTCAAATACTGTATACAAAGTCATTTAAACAGTCCGTTTTAACGAGTTTTGGGGACATCTGTTTAACCAGAAAAACTGTTATCTGGACTGGCCTCGGTCCCGAGGAGTCCGGATAAGAGGGAGTCTACTGTAGTGGTCTTTAAACTGACAACAATAATAGATGATTCTCAACTAAACGCTTTGTGGCTTTGGATTGGTTACGAATCCTAAATCTCTTGCAAGGGGGAATTGTCATCATCTACTGCATTTGAGGTAAAACAATGATAATCTTTTCTGCAATTGCAGAAATATAGTAAATTTTCGACCACAAACTTTGCACTTGTAGACATCTTTACATCTTTCACAATTAATTGTGCCAATATAACAATATTCCAGATCTAAAAATGGCTGAAGGTATTCATAGTGGTGTTTATCAGGAAAGTGCAGCTTAACAATTTCTCTGATACAAAAAAGAAGCATTTATAACCAGTACTCTACAAACAGTTGATGTTGACTAACAGAAAATTATGTTACTTTTCACACCAGTACAGCTGGCACTTGGCCTAGCGCGGGCAATATAGTAGGGGCCGTCGGGGGGTGGATGGAGGTAAGGAAAAGACCGGACTGCAAACATTTCTGCTGACTCATGCATGGGGTTGACTCCCCATGTTTCATGTACTTGAGCGCCTTCGCATGGGTTGCGACTGCGAGGACAATTGACGCAACCCGCATGACGGGACAAGATGTTTTTGAAGTAGGGAGTAGGGATCAGTGCCAGCTTACGTGTCACAAGCTGTATCTGGGTACTACGAGTACAATTACAGAAGCCTGAAGCGAATGTATTTAAAACATTATAACACAGCTTTGACACCTACACATGAAATGTGCCTACTGATAAATCACTAGACGATTATTAATTAATCAATTATTAGTCCAACATTATTACCTGCCATCAGAAGGTGTGGGAGGAATTTCTCTGAACGGCGGAGAACTTCTCTCTGGAACTAATAGATATTGTTTAAATAAACTTATACAAATTGATAATACTGATTGACAATATAGATTCGACCCTTCTTCTCAAGTTATTTAAATTTTTAATAGCTAAGAGAGTTTTTTGTTATGGAAGGGTTTTAACTGTTTTAAGATTTCAACTCTAGGTTACCACAAAAAATTATAATCTAAAGTTATATAAACACAATAGATGTAAAGGCAACACAACTGAAAGTAACACGTACTTGGTTTTCTGTACACCTGGAAGGCCCCGTGAGATCTGACTTGATCACTCGTCTCCGCGGGGAACTGAGCGAAGTCTGCGAAAGCTGTCGACTGATCTGCCTCTCCTTCTTGGTGATGATGAGTGATGTACTTTTTGGGTGACATCTGGAAAAAAAATCAATTTTGAGTACATCACAATTAAAAAACTGCGAAGGGTTGAGTCGGTAGTGCATCAAACTAAAAACAAAGCATCGATGTTGAGGGTTTGCGCCTTGGAGGCATCACCTAACAATTCATCAATCCAGTTGATTCAACAATACTAGCTCATCTGTTGTTTACAAGAGGCTGGCGACCTAAAATATGAATAACCTTCCTTTCAACTACTGCATCAGTACATTTCCATATACACCATGAGTTGGGGAAAACTGTGAAGGAGTGCCAGTGGGAAGGGAGAGGAGTGCAATAGTGGAGAGTAGTGACTAGTCAAGAGGGAGCTTTGGTGAGTGACAGGGGCAGATGAATAAAATTATTTATATTACCTGTCTGTCAATGATCCTATTGTCGTCTTAGGTGACCGGTTTTGAGATTAAAATCCCATCATCAAAATACTATATAGGCTAGACTCGCTCATTTAAGCAACGATTTAAAGAGCACCTTCATTCCAAAACAATAGTCCAGCAAAAATTCGCTTTGGCCAACCACCTCGCAGACAGTAACCATAATTATTCTAGCCTTGATAAATAACCTACACATTTTACATAGTTACCCTAAAAGGACGGTTTTTAGACTGCTTTAGAAGAATTTGAGATCTACAAATCCATAAAGAATGAGCCACAACATATTTTAAATGAACAGACCTCTTTTAAGTCCAACATTATCTATGACACAGCGATTAGAATAGCACAATACCACTGGCATTCCATAGATAACAGGAGAGGAGCAAGGACACCTCAGTCATGACCACACATCTACCTGTGTCGCGTCGTAGTGTCCTGTACTGGCCAATATCTTTGTACAATGTCAATCCGTGTTTTATGTGTGTGTTTTTGTGATTACCGACGACCTCAATTCGAGTGATATGACGTTTTAACCGCCCGATAATGGGATTTTAATCCTGGAAACCGGTCGCCCAAGATGACAATAGGGTCATTGACGGCAGGTAATATAAACCATTTTATTCAATAAGTGAAGAGAAATCTTAGAAAATGGGAGTTGGCCTAGAGGATATAGTATGACCTGGATTTTAATAAACTCAGGTTTATAACATGAAATGAAATGAGAACTTCAATTAGAGAATCTCACAATGTACCCCTTCTAATCAGGAGAGTGTAACATGAGAATAGCCTATCATTTATTTAAGCTAAATTTAAATTAGCCTACTTATTTTTTGTTAATAGCAATTTTAAGAATCAATTTAATCATTACCTACTTTGAATGAATGAATAAATTAAATGAATGAATGAAATATAATATGTTTATTTCCACATAATGTATACAGAAAGAAACATACTTTTTAATACAAAATATACTCACAATTACAAAATATAAACTAAGAATAAGAATAAAAAAAGAACATTTCCGTATTAATTAATTTGATGATTTTATGAAATACAGCAGACATAGGCAGGTGCTGCCTGTGCGTCTGCTGGGTTGCTATTTAATAATTATCAGTAGGTTACCAAATCATAATGGAATTAATAAAAAAAAGATTAATAAATGGAATGACAGTTGCTTATTATTTATTATTTATTATATCACATAAACTTACTGATCCAGGTGATGTCCTGGGAGGAACTGGAGGTATGTTTGTGAGTATGCCACTTTTACCTGAAAATAAAAAAAAAATTATTATTAAAAAAAAGATCAAATAAACTAATAGCTAAGCAAGATTTCTAATAGAGTTAAATTACCCCCCAGAGCAAACCTCGAACGATGTGAATTTGCATTTACCTGAATGGAATTTTACTAAAATACTTTCTAAATATGTATAATAATATTAGTGAGATTTTTTTTTTTAAGAGGTTGGCGGCCTCTTTTAACCTTGCATTTACCCGTCCATATAGACTAACCGCCCGTGCATGGATTGTTGACAGTAAAGCAAGGAGTGAGCCGGTACAGTACAAAGGTGAACTGTACTGATAAAATGTTATCGGCAGTGACCAGGATCCAAACCCACGATATCGCTGCCTTGGGCCCGAAGTGCGACGCTACCGACTGAGCCACCGAATCACTAAGGAAGGAAGGGTTAGATAATTATGGAAGTTGTTTAAAAACCTACATAGGATGTCATAATGCGAAACATTTCACCTTTTTTGACACTCTTTTTGCATAGTCCTGCACTTATTCTTTTACCTAGGGAAGCAACTAGGTGTATTTGCAACCTCATATAAATTAACCCTTAGCAAATCAAAAGAACATTTTTAGATTAACTTAATTGGTAAAGTGGCCAATAATTATACTTTTTGTTTTTGCACAGAAGCTACGCAGCTACGATTCATGAGGGAGTCAGTATCCATTTACGAAAAACGCCTGCAGAAAGTCAACGCAATACAGGAGCGCATTGTTGTTGCGTTTCTTTTGCGAAGGCGTTCTTATTATTAATTAATTCTTTGCTTGTAAATATTGCTTTAATTGTTTTAAATTTTTTTGTTTTGACATAGAAAATGATGAGAAGTTTTATTAAGTGTAAGCAGTGTGAGACATCTTTTACTACTGTAGTAGCCAAAACAAGTCACTCCAAAATCTTTCTAAAAATAACACAGGTCTGTAAAATTGTTACTTTATACTTAACTAATAAGATTGATGTTATAGACTGATAAATTTGGTATTTTTGTAGGTCTGCTTTGTATTCCTTGTAGTTTGTAGGTCTGATTCTATCCTCTCATTTTATCAGTGTGAACCAATTGAAAGTTTCAGTATATATCTTTCAAATTTTTTTATTTGTTTAAAACAAAACATATCTGTATTTGTAAAATAAATATTATAAAATAGGTAACATGCTAAACAATAAGATTCTGCGTGTAAAAATTATGAAATAAGCAAGTAAAGCTTACACTGACATTTCCAGCGATACAGGTTCTTCTAATATATATGATTGAAAATAAATATTTTTTCACCCAAAATTCATATATGTCATATGTATTTATAGGCCTAATACTACATCAACAAAAATTCGCATTACACGAATGTAGTACATTTAAATTAGCCTATTGTTACTTCACTTCATTGGCAAGTATGAATTGTAAAATGCCGTATTGCTTCGAATCGAGTTCTATCGATTCAAATAGAAAATCTTTTGAATCAAATATTTTTTCTGCTTTGCACACCCTTAGTTCTCACAATTGCTTGGATAGGCTTCAGTGTTACCATAGATAAAACATACTCCCTTAGTAGATTTCTCATCCTTATGGAACAGCTGTAGACAATTATATTGTTAGTTCATGTACGGTTTATGTAGAGGTCGTGTTTTGTTTACAATTTGTTTCCCGTTATTACAGCCATTTAAAACCTCGTTTAACCAAATAATACGATCTAATCATAAACAATAACTTGTCCCCTAGTTATATAACCAAACAGTAAAGCACAAATAAAGAAATTAACCCTAAAATAATGGAAACAAAGTTTCATCGACACTAGCGCCTTTGTGTCACGTACATGAACTAGACACGAAAAACGTGCTTCAAAATTTACAATGGGATGAAAAGTCTACTTGTGTTGGTTAGTCTATGGTGTTACTACCCGACATAATACCAAGGGTTGTAGGATAAGTGAGCTCCTTTTGTAGATTTAATGACTATGAACAGCTGTTTCATCAGCGGGGACCATTTAAACAAGCACAACTATAAATTACACGATTACTGTTCAGTTACCAAGCCTGTTGAGGTCGAGAGAGGAACTTCTAGTGTGTGTGCGGTGAGGCCGTGGCGGGGGTGGAGGTGGAGGCTCCTTCTTGAGTACAGTTGTGGGCAAACTGACAGGGCCTGAGCTGCAGACAAACCAGAGGAATCAGTGTATTGCTGTTCCGCGGATGAGTTCTCCGATAAAAATTCCCCCAATCCTAAATGACTTATCTATTTTGGTATTTTATTTTTAAAGATTAATTGGTGAAATAACGCAGGGGTCAGTGATACGGTAAACAATTTTTGTATTGCATAATACTGTTACAAGTCAGGAGCCCCGCGCAACAATAGCCAGGCGCCGTCACAAAAGGGTTGTTTGTTTACACGGGTTTCTCAGAACGCACCACTGATAGACAAAAGACCTATGTCAACGGACTACCTCAATAGGGGCCCTAGAACCTTCTACTTCTACGCCGGTTTGTAAACAACGGATGCTCGAACTCTCCACTCTAGAATGTTCCACGAAAAACTTATATAAGGGACCGTCCTCCAGCACACGGCAGTTGAGTTGAGTTGAGCCTTCCGAGAATCGTCGCAGCAAGCGCGTGTCGGTGTTAGTGACCAGTGCTAGTGCTTGTGGCAGTGACAGTGCAGTGACGGTGTAGAGACAGTGTAGTGACACTAGTGACAGTGTAGTGACAGTGTTGTAACAGAAGTGATAAATCCTGTAGAGGCTAGCTGTAAGTAGAAACATTGTAAATTAGAATAGGCTTTAGCTAGGTTTAGATAGGGTTAGTTAGGTGTTAGGTAATTCTAATATCTGTAAATATAGAATAATTAGTGTAAATAAATAGTTACTATAAAATCGCCAAGTTTTTATTGTAGAGAACCCGTTAAGCCCGCAACAATTGGTGTCAGAAAGCGGCATTATTTTGGCGATTTTATTTGTAAAATATTGAGTTTTATTTTAGTTGTATTAGAATTAGTAAAGAATCAGGGTCTTTGTTACATATTAGTAATTTGTGTCTTACATTTGTTTACAAAGGACAAAATCATTTATTGTAAAATTATTTTAATTGTTTTGCATAAAAATGGCTTTCAAAGGTGTAAAACTTGATGAATTAAAAGTAGCTGATCTTAGGAGAGAATTAGAAGAACGAGATCTAGATACTAGTGGAACTAAATCAGCCCTTCAGGCACGCCTTAAACAAGCTTTAATTGATGCAGGTGAAGATCTGGATAACGTTTTATTTGAACCATCTGATGTCAATAAAATGCTTAAAAACTTGGAGTCAAAAATTTCAGAAAGTAGTAAAACATTAGAGTCAAATATGTCAGAAACTAGTAAGAACCTAGAAGCTAATATTGAATCTAAAATGTCAGAAAATAACAAAAACTTAGAGTCTAAAATGTCAGAAAATAACAAAAGCTTAGAAGCTAGCATTGAGGCAAAAATGTCAAATTTAGAATCAAAAATGCTGAACAAATTAGATGAATATTCGAGCAAAGTTGATAGTTTAGAAAGTAGAATGAATGAAATGGATGAGAAATTTAATTGTTTAGAAAAAAAACTAGAAGATAGGTTAGTTGATAAGCTCAGGCAGGAGATGGCTGCATCGGGAAGCTTCACACCTGCGTCATCGGCTAGCACGGACGAACTTCGGCAGGATAACGCCCCAGAAACGATCTCCAAGCCAGCGCCCACCATTGCTGCCGTTGCCCCACAGAACATCGTTCCTCACTTCGATGGCAAAACCCCATGGGATGACTACATGCTTCTCTTCGAGACAGCGGCTATGGTACATGGGTGGACTGAGGAGACAAAGGCTTCAGCACTGTGCCTTGCACTACGGGGCGATGCGTTAGCAGTTCTGCATGCTATGCCAATGGCGGAGAGGAAGAATTTCCCAGAACTAGTGAGGAGATTGGACATGCGCTTTGGGCATCGACACATGGACCAGCTTTACCGATCTCAACTGCGGAACCGGATCCAGAAACCCAGCGAGTCACTTCAGGAGTTTGAAGCCGACATTGCTCGTCTGGTGAGAAACGCCTATCCATCGGTCACGGATGATGTCTACGAGAGTTTGGCAGTGGATAAATTCCTAGACGGTCTACGTGAACCTGAGACTCAACAGGCAGTGAAGCTCGCCAGACCTAAGACCCTGAGTGACGCACTGACACAGGCACTGGAGTTCGAGGCTGTACGGCAGTCGGTGAGAGGTCAGGCCCGAGTCCGTGTAGCAGACGCAGAACCTACATCTCCGCTCGACATCGAGGAGCTGGTGAAAAGAGTGCTGGAGGCACTAAAAAATCGTCGCCGGCAGATACGCTGTTGGAGCTGCGGACAGATGGGACATCCCCGGAGTAAATGTCCTTCGACCACACCAGAACTGAAGCAGGAAAACTAAGGAGGGTTGATGGAAAGGGGCAACCGTCAGCCCGTGATTCGAAAGCCCCGAAGGAAAGTGTTAAAGTTGCTTCACTGGGAAGTCAGTCAAGCAGTTTCTACATCGACGGAAAAGTAAACGGGCGTCTCCAAAGCTGTCTTCTGGACACCGGAGCGACTATGACCATCCTGAATCCAAACACTGTGTCGACTGAAGATATTTCGCCAACATCATGGTCTCTACGTACAGCTACAGGTCAGCTGGCTCAGGTCTATGGACAGACGGTTGCTACCTTCCACATCGGCGGCTGCGTGTTTCAACACTGCGCACTTGTTGCCGACATAGACGAGGACGTGATTTTGGGAACCGATATAATGGTGAAGTTCGGATTGAAGTTGGACATGTCAAGGGGATTAGTGACTCTCGGAGATGAAGATGTCATACTTCGGCGTGGAAAGGATATCTCTGCACGCGTCCTTCTATTGGAAGACACGACGCTACCAGCACGCAGCCAAGTCATCGTTCGAACTACTGTCGAAGGAGAGTGGACTAGTGGACAAAGTGTTCTTCTGGAGCCAGGAAGTGACAGTGAATCCCAGCTTGGACGTGGTGTTTTTGTCGCCAGATCCTTATTTAACTTAGGACACGACAATCCGGTGCGACTGATGAACTTGAATGGTTTTCCTGTGACAATAAAAAGAGGAGTAACGATCGGAACTTGCGTGGCTGTTAATTCGGTGGTACGTCAGCTAAAATCATGTCTGCCATCCCCAAACGGATTGCCGAAGGAGCTGGAAGATTTCGTGGAGAGCATATGTCAGGAGCTGACGCATCAACAAAGTGCTAAAATAAAGGACTTTATTACCAGATGGCAAGATGTCTTTGAGTATGGAAGTGGCCCTAGAGGAAGAACGAATATAGTACAACACAAGATAGACACCGGAGATGCAAAACCCATACGTCAGGCCCCAAGACGACTCCCACTGGCGAAGCCGAGAGAATGATAAAGGAGATGGAAGCGGATGGTGTCATCGAGCCTTCTAACAGCCCTTGGGTATCACCTGTGGTACTAGTGAAAAAGAAAGACGGCTCAACGAGATTTTGCGTAGACTACCGCCTTCTCAACAATGTCACCAAGAAAGACAGCTACCCTCTACCCAGGATTGATGACACACTCGACACTCTGGGAGGATGTCAAATATTCTCAACTTTGGATCTGAGAAGTGGCTACTGGCAGGTCGGGCTCGCTCCTGAGGACAAGGAGAAGACGGCGTTCTCTATTGGGACAGGACTTTGGCAATTCACCGTCCTGCCTTTTGGACTTTGCAATGCCCCTGCTACTTTTGAAAGGCTTATGGAGAACGTCCTCAGGGGATTGTCATGGGAGACATGCCTGGTATACTTGGATGACATTATCGTCCTAGGCAAATCCTTCGAAGACCACCTGAAGAACCTGGAGAATTATAGAGACAGTGTAGTGACACTAGTGACAGTGTAGTGACAGTGTTGTAACAGAAGTGATAAATCCTGTAGAGGCTAGCTGTAAGTAGAAACATTGTAAATTAGAATAGGCTTTAGCTAGGTTTAGATAGGGTTAGTTAGGTGTTAGGTAATTCTAATATCTGTAAATATAGAATAATTAGTGTAAATAAATAGTTACTATAAAATCGCCAAGTTTTTATTGTAGAGAACCCGTTAAGCCCGCAACAATACTTTTAGTAGTAGTACTCCAATACAAAAATACCCTCCTATTCTCAAAAGACCTGGATTAAACATATGGGGATACTTATGTTTTGATATTTTCCAACACTAAACATCAATTATAATAACTGGCTGAAGGATATTCTTATCTTCCCAAAACGGTTTTAAAAGGTAATATTCTTTGAATTCCAGAATCCAAGAGTCAAGCTGAATTTAAATAAATTAAATCAACTTTATTCGTATCCTACACATTGAAAGGATTTGACAACTGCACAATTTATTTATTTTTTTGAGTAAATAATTATAAAAAACATAAATGATATATTTGTTTAACAGAAGTAAAAGTTACAGGTCTAAAATTGCATATAGTAGTATTTTCCACAGGAGACAAAAGGAATTCTGCCTAAGAAATCAAACAACTAATTCTTGTTTCGACCCGTCGAAAACGTACTGATAACAACTGAATTAAATCTCAACCACAAACACATGCTAATGAATGAAAATTACTGTTCACAAAATATCAGGTGACAAATAGATTATTACAGCTTTTAGTTAATATGTGCTGACTAACAATGTAACTACAAAAATTAATATAAACTCACTTTGTAACATCGTCCAAGACTGGCTGAGGTGGTGGAGGTATTGCACCAGGCCCTGGTGCTAGAATATAAATTAATTGTTTAATTCAAATTATTTCACAGTTGTAAAAGCATATGCTGAATTTGAGAACAAAACCTTTCACCAATATATGTTTATCTCTAATACGTTTGATTTTTGAATAGGCTAAGTGGTAAAGATAGCCTCAAAATTATAAATCAACTTTTCATTTTGAGAACACTTTGTCCAGTAAATATTACTAGGGAACTTAAATTGCTCATGAGATGGTGTTGATCTAGTTGAGTTTATATAACAATAAAATCCAATGTTTTTGGTAACGATGGTTTCAGGCCATGGTTTTTAAGGAATCCATAAATTAACCTAAATTCTATTAGTTCTGCTCTAATTATACTGTGTTCTAACAAAAATGAAGAAGGGATAGACAAGTCTCGAGAAGAAGGGATAGACAAGTCTTGAAGTTTCGGGAAATTTTAAATCTCGTCCTGCCTGCAGAAAGTCAAGGCAATAACCGCAATACTGGAGCGCATTGTTGTTGCGTTTCCTTTGCGAAGGCGTTCTTATTTAATTAATTCTTTACATGTAAGTATTACCATTGACTATATATACCTACAACAAAAAATTATGTTGAAACCTTAGGCTTAGTACAGCGGACATTTACCAGCAGGTTTCTTGGGCTGCGGCCGCTGTATTGGTCGTATCGGACTCGCCTCGCCTCCACTCAGCTGTTCCGTTAGTTTCTTGGGTTCCTCAGACTCCAGCAGGTCTGGCGCAGGAGTCACTCTCAGAGGCACTGGGTGGAGTATCTTGGGATCCTGCAGGAAATATTCCCAAATCATGACAAATACCCATAGGAGTGTACAATTAAGAGGCGGCGGGAGCCAGCTCGCCCGAGCTCAGCGCTGCCCGCTAGTTTAACATGGAGCGGCGACACATTTTACTTATTTCAGGAAATATATAGACATTTACAAAAAAAATGGAACACTAGTAATGTTTGTCACTACATATGCTACTATATAAAGTATAATAAACCATTATAAAGTTGTTTTTTAATTTTATATACATGAAATACGTAATTTGATTTCCCATAAGGATTTCGGTAAATTAGTTCAACTGTAACTAACATATATTTTAATATTTGTAATTGAAATTGGTACCATCACAAACTAGAATATTTCAGTTTTTGTTTGAGTGTACCACATCTAAAAAATAAAATCTCTGAGTAATTAATTTGATCGTTTTAAAAAACCTTTGTCATCAAGGGTCCCGCAGCACACGGACAAGCGACTGAGGTAGTTCAGCGGTCCTACGCTAGGGTGCACTAGCGTCGCACAGTCTTGAGAAACAAAACACGCCAAGCATGAGTAGCATGACAGATATTCCAATCACTTTCGCTGAAGTGGATGCAAGCCTAATACATTGTTAATAATCTAAACGCAAACTGAAATTGTACAAGTTTAGCTCAATTTGTCTCTAGGTCTATAGGGAAAAACTAATTGAACTATGATTTAAAATAATTATACTTTTTACCTCGATATCTTAGTCAATACTATGTGTGAATAGTTTAATTTTATTATTGCTTTTTATCTCATGCAAAAAAAACCTATTTTTATATTTTTTTACCTAAATTATCACTAGATGTAATGAAATTGTAAAACTACATCTAACCTGCAACGTTGTGATATAAATCTATGTTTTTCTCGCGTTATTGTAATAACCAATTGAATAGAACGTATTACAGTTAATTTTAATAAGTATGTTTCGTTATCTTTTAAAAAAAGGTCTCAATTTTAACTATAACACGTATCCTTATATAAAACCTTATAAAGTTGTTTCATGTTTATATTTAAAATATGTTTCCTTATACAAATGAAGTATTCTATGCATCGATGTATAGTCAAGAAATATATACGACGACTCCATTTTATCCAAAACACTAGCCATAAATCATGTTTTAGAAAATTCTCGTTCCTAGGGGCGAGGAGTTCCAGGAAAGGTGTGAGAGAATATCTGTATTTGTTTATAGATTTCCTCCTCACCCTATCTCGGCGATTGTCTGTGTGGTTGTTAGCAGGTAGCATTGTTTAGTCTACACGCGCTGGAGCTGGACACAGTACCTACGATATTCGTGTTTATATTGGCCTAGTGGATGTTCGTGTTACAGTGCGCGATATGTTATTTTCCTTGTGATTCGAGGCTAATGTAAGTTGTGTCAGTTTGGAACAATGGGAAATTGCAAGAGGTTTCCTTCTAGGAGGAAGAAAAGAAGAGTGCCTGCTTGTTTGAAAAAGTTGAATCAGCAAAGGACGTAAGTACAGAACAAGTCAATTTAACAATTCAAAATTCTATATCATGTGCTCTTATACAGCCAGCCAATTACATAAGGCACTAATACACAATAACATAAATACATGCACGACAACTACCCTACAGCAAACAGCATACGACTTTGATACATACACATAAGAAATATTAATAATTGTAATAGTTTGAAACTGGTTTTAGATAACTATATTACTTATAGATAAATAAATAAATAATATACACTAACAAAGGACCATAAACAGGCAATAATATGCAACATGCAGCCAGCTAACATGAATAATTGGCACTTTTCATTTAACAATTGTTTATATTACTATTTAATTTAAATCTAAACATGCTTAAAGAAACGTTAAAGATATCAAGTTCTCGGCAAGACCAATTATATAACCTACACATGTTGTTTAGTGGTGAATAGAATTCTTGAATTTACTTTCAATACTAAGTTTGGTCCCGTGGGCGTTGGCTAAACATGCCTTATGCCCCGGAGAGTTGTATATCGTTGCTTATGCCGTATCCCAATGTTGGCTTTCAATTGATTTAAGCGAATTCCCCTGTAGAAGTATTATGGTTTATGGGGGTGTGACTTGTAGTTTTCTCAAAAGTTCGTGGGTACTTTGGGCTTTATATACAGATATATAGATTTATATATATATATGTCCGTCAACGCGATAACTGGAGTAATTTTTGTCCGATTTTGATGAAATTTGGTTTAAAGATGTAAGGCGAGATAAACTTGAATGAGTTCGCGAACCAGCATGATCGGACTATGGGAACGGGGTTTGATGGGGTAAAAATTGGTTGTTCTCCTTTTTGATATCAAAACCCAACCCTTCCCAATTTATCGCTAGACCTTGTTAAAGAGCTTAAAAAAAATAACAAGTGTTTTTGTACAGTTATTGGTAACGGAGAAAATTCAAAAAATTTTAAATTTAAAATTCCCATGTTATTCTTACGGAGAATACTGTACAATGTTGTAGTTTGCTTGTTTATTGACATATTTTGACCAAACTTGGGAAATTTATTTTTTTTTATACCAAGCTATTATTTTTTACCAAAAAACACACACTTTATTGGTTTCCTTGTACTGTAACTGAACTTTATTGAAAATAGTTTATAACAATGCCAGACGTTTAATGTTTTAATCGAACACATATCTGTATGATCTCATCGTCTAAACTGCTATTAACGAATAAGTGCATATTATATATATATGTAAATTATATAATTTATAACTTGTGTTTTTTAATGTTTTGAAATGTGTTTTCCAGTTTGATGAGTGCCATGAAAGCTAAACCATCGTTGGAGCAAGAGATTGAAGATTCAACTGATCAACAAACAACATCGCAGAAAAAAGAATACCGGCTGAGTGGCAGGCGCTTAGTGAACATATGCGACTTTATCAAACAAATAAAAGTGCTGAACGTCCACAACCCCAGCATCGGCTGCAATTTTTCTAACATGGAAGTGATATCTGAGGTTAGACATGGACTAAGAAATGGATTTGTCTTTGAATGTGCCATGTGCAAATTTAAAACCACTCTTTGGTCTGAGGAGATCAACGAAAAACTTATGGATGTGAACAGTGCTAGTGTTTGCGGTACAGTTACAACCGGCGGTGGACATGCTCAACTCGAGGAGTTCCTAAGCACTCTTGATATTCCCCCTATGAGTTTTAAAACTTTCAAGAAGACAGAAGAAAAACTGTCAGTGGGATGGGCAGCAACAGCGGCGGTTGAGATGGAAGAGGCTGCGGCTGAGGAGGCGCGGTTGGCCCGGGAACTCAATGAGGTCGACAAGGACGGTGTCCCGCTCATCACGGTGGTTGCAGACGGCGCCTGGTGCAAGCGTTCCTACCGAACCAACTACTCGTCATTATCTGGAGTCGTAAGTATCATAAGCAACTGCATTACATGGTGCATGGTACATATGTGTTATACGAGAATATGGTCATGTTACAGCATAAGTGAATACTAAAAATCGTAGTTTACACAACAATCGCGTAAAGACTATTTACGCGTGTTGCGTACACTACTTTACCTACGACCGTATCTTATATTACTATCAATCTGTGTCATATTACTAATTGACTCCTAAGAAAGGGTATATTTTCGTTGATAAAAATGTTATTATTACGCCTAATCATAACTGAAACAGTTTTTAGCCCCACACTCGGAGTTTGATGCAGATTACAACGATATAAGTTTTATATGAACAAAAATTTTGTAAATTCAGGGAAGAGAGAAGCGTGTAAATGAGCCCGTGCGCTGGTCCCTGCTCACCCTGGAGTGCGTGCGGTTACGTCACAGCCACGCGGCAGTGGAACCACTCGTTGATTTGAGCCAGCCCCTGTATTCTATAGCCCCAGATGCAAGAACTCATTTTACCAACAACTAATTGCACCCATCATTAACGATTAAATCGGTCGTTCCATCTAGTAAGTTGACGTTCGAAGCATTACAATTTGACTTATTTTCTCTAAATATTTTAAACTCGTTGGTCCGTTACTATAGTCCGTCCGTTTGCGAACTGCCCAGCGGATTAGGAACCTTCTCGGAACTTTTTATTGTGTTATGTATATATCTTTTCAACTATCAGAACTCCACTGAAAAGGCTAGTTTTAAAAACGGTCGTAGGTAAAAATGATTAGTTTTATGTTTTATAATTTATTTTTTATTTATTATTTTTTTTTTTTATTTAATTTTTAATATAGATTTTCCCATAAAACCCCATAAAATACTAAATAGTGGTTTAAATTACCTTGTTACTGTCAAAACGATCCTTTGTAGTTAGTAAGACTACAGCTGTTTCATGCTTCGAATGGACACATCATCGGGTCAGAAGAATGTCAAGTAGTCTTCATATTCCTCGCAGTGGAGTTCGTCAAAAGTTTAATAATAAATAGACAACAAAACACATAACACACGGAAATACGAAACATTTACTTTTACATTTACTAACTACAAAGGATCGTTTTGACAATAACAAGGTAATTTAAACCACTATTTAGTTAATTCAGACGATCCAGAGGCCATTCCACCCGGAAATCTAAATGTATTAAAACATCCCAAACTATTTTGATAAACATTTTATATTTTACATTGTTTTAAACTTTTAACTAAACTGTGCAACCAAATTATTTTTTGAATTACGGTACAAAAGTGATTTTAACTTATGTGATTTACCCTACCTATCCATAGAAGTCTGAAGCCCATGGGTAACAGCCAGTAAAATGTCATAGTTCCAAGAAAGGGGTTTTCAAAGTAATGGGATAAACTATGTATCAGATTGCTGATACAGTTTATTTTTATTGATAGAGAAAGTTTTGTATCAAAAGTAGCACAGTAGTTTTATTTTATTTTTCATTGTCAAGGAATTATTTACAGGAGTTTATTTCTCGTCACACTGCAGCAAAAACTGCCATTTTTGTACCGTACTTGCGTTGCGGGTAAATAATTATTTGTGTAACTGTGCAGCAAAGGCCTTTTGCACT